TGATCTTTAGCTCGTTTTCTGCCTGCATAATCCAGTATTCACAATGGGAAATTAATTAGATAAACACCCTGTGCACGCCCATTTTAGTGGCGGTTAAGAGTTGGTTACTGATCTATGCAGACCTTTGGTGGCTTGCAGGAAAACGCGCCGGTACGGTAGGTGGCTAACTCGTGAAATGTCAGCCGAAATTTCGAATCGCGTTTTCGTTTCGAAAAGATTAATTAAGTAGGGTTGTAAAAGTAACCATCTTGCAGCACAATTCTATAATAATCCAGTTACCCCAGGATGCCGGCTTTTAAACGAACTTCCTTCCGGCTGCATGCAAAAACCGTACTCTGTAAAAAAAATGCTTGCTTGCGTAGCATGCATTTTTCTCATTGATTTTCGATGCCCTTAAAAATTCAATTATATTCCATGGAAAACATGCATAAAAATATTCATTCTTTTGTTCATTCGGTGGAAAATGGCGTCTTCCAATTTTATGCTCAAAGGAAGGGTATAATCCGGTTTTAAAAAGTTTCTAATTGTGAGATTTTTAATACCGTGAAATGGCCATTCATAAAACGTCATGTCTCTGCATTCACTAATGTGGCTTGTAAAGTTAACAATGTGGCTCAAATCCACTACTCAATTTTATGAACCCCATATGGTCTTCTCTTTATACCGTAGATAAATGTATGGTTTCCCATACGCAGAAAATATACGGCTTGTAGTGTGGAAACCCTGAATGCAAGTGTAACGGCAGGTCGGGTTCAAAATTACGCGGGAATTGGAACAGTTTGTGAAAACAGAATTGTGCCCTTCCTTCGAGCATAAAGTTGTTCGAAGACGCAATTTTCTACCTAATGAGCAAAAGAATGAATATTTTTATGCACGTTTTCTTTGAAATATAATTTAATTTTTAAGGGCATCGAAAATCAATGAGAATTAGACAAACGCCCTATGCACGCCGATCTTAGTGGCGGTCGAGAGTTGGTCACTGAGCTATGCAGACCTTTGATGGCTTGCAGGAAAAACCCGCCAGTCACCTGGATTCGGCCGTTCTCAATGTGTCTATTTGGCAATAGTCTATTCCCAAGTTAAGTGAAAGTGAAGTCAAGTTGGCAGGCGCTTGTTTTCGGGAATTCGTCATCAGGCCGATACAGTTACATGGAGGATGAAAATAGGAGAAGTTAACGGGGTCATTCCTATCCCCCCCCCACCGCATTACTCGGTCGGTGCGTTGTGGTCATTGCGACTGGGGGGAGGGTGGGTGAGGCAGGGCGTGAACGATGTCATCAAGGGAGTTGGGACGACGCGCGATCATCAACTGGAGTGGGCGTTAGCCAGGGAAGGCAGAGCGCATGTACCAACGTCTTCTGAAAACACGCCATTGGATTCCCTAGCCATACAGCCACTGCCTTGGATGTAGTTGGCCCCCTTTGGGTAGGCCCTTTGAGAAGTTTCCTGGTGTCCAATAAGCAACCTTGAAAGGCTTATTCGGCATCATCTCGGTGCTTTGCATAGACTAGATACGGGAGAATAGAACTCGAAGTCGATTTGTTTTCACCTCTGTCTAGCCAACCCGTTATGTGTTCACGCATTCACTTTTCCAGGCATCTCGTTGCACGGCCAATGTATCCCACTCCACAGGAGCAAGCGAATGAATAAACGCACATTGATGTGATTCTCAACGGCAGTCTGCCTTTACCTCCTACAGTAGGTGGGCTAACTCATGAAATGTCAACCGAAATTCCGAAATGTGTTTTCATTTCGAAAAGAATAATTAAGTAGGGTTGTAAAACTAGTCAGCCTGCTACATAATTCTATAGTAATTCAGTTACCTCAGGATGCCGGCTTTCGACCGAACGTTTTTCCGGCTGCATGCAAAAACTGTACTCTGGAAAGATGACTACTTACCTAGCAGGAATTTTTCTCATTTATCATTAATGCTGTTAAAAATTCAATTACACTTTATGGAAAACATGCATAAAGATATTATTTTGCTCATTCGGTAGAAAATTACGTCTCCTTCCAATTTTATACTCGAAAGAAGGGTATAATTCGGTTTTCAAAAACTTTTCCAATTCCTGAGTAATTTTGAACCCGACCTGCCGTTACACTCGCATTCAGGGTTTCCAAATCACAAGCCATATATTTTCCGTGTGCGGAAAATCGTACACTTCTCTACGGTATTAAGAGGAAACCATATGGGGTTCATAAAATTTGGCAGTGTATTTGAGCCATATTGTTAACTTCACAAGCCACTTTGTTAAATGCAGAAACATGACGTTTTATGAACGGCTATTTCACACTACCAAAAAATCTCACAATTAGGAGTTTTTTAAAACTAACTTAAACCCTTCCTTCGAGCATAAAACTGGAAGAAGACATAATGTTCTGTCGAATGAGCAAAAGAAGGAATATTTTAGGCATGTTTTCCATAAAATAAAATTTAATTTTTAAAAGCATTAAAAATCATTGAGGAAAATTCATGCTAGGTAAGTAGTCATCTTTTCATAGTACAGTTTTTGCATGCAGCCGGAAAGAAGTTCGTTTGAAAGTCGGCATGCGGAGGCAACTGAATTATTATAGAATTATACTGTATGATGCTTAGTTTTACAACCCTCCTTGATTAATCTTTTCGAAACGGCAACGCATTTCGGAATTTTGGTTGACATTTCATGAGTTAGCCCACCTACTGTAAGCTTAGGAAGGGAGTTTTTGAATAATACGAGGGGAAAGCACTCGTGATTGCGGTCTTCAGAGACGTCATCTTACTAGTTCGCTTGCCGCATCCCCGGGAAAATGCAGTCTTATGCACACCTCTTTCGTTTCTTCGGCTGCGGTGATCGGCTTTGCGCTGCGCTCCCCAGTATTATGTCAGTTTCTTCGGACTGTCAGCCATTAGTCGACGTACCAGACCTCAGCCCTCTGTGCTTTGGTATCCTTGTCTCTCCTGGCCCGTGACTGCTCGTTCTCCAGCCCCGCCGCCTTACTCAAGGCTGTTTCACCACCCGTGGCAGCCATTAGCTAGGCTAACGAGTAACCCCGTCTTCTCGAACCTTCCTTCGAGTCCGTCAACCAGCTCGCGAAGAAATTGGTTTTTGCTATGCTCAGAGACAGATGGACTGACTCAGCAACCTTGTTCGCTCGCTCAAGAGCGCCTTTTGGAGGACATGACGACTTGATGCGAGAAGGTCAGCATAGCTGTGGCCAATCAGTTGGCGTCTCGATCTGAATTCGACACCGTCTGCACTTTGAACTGCATTTCCGAGGACCCCCGGTTGATGGAGACATGAGGCATCATTGTCGGACGGCGGAACACGTAGCCTCTCCATCAGAGATACCCACGACGACTGAAATCGGACGCTGCTGCAAAATCGATAAGCTACTCCGAGTTAGTCTTCTTTGGGCCATCCCCTGAGACCTCAAACAAACTCCGCAAACGCGCTTTGCAATTGGAAGGTTTCTTTAAATGATGCTGCGATACTAGGAAGTACAGAATGCCTTTTTAATATACGTCCCATGTATGTAGGGACCTGCCGACTTCCCATCGGAAGTCTCCTCAATCATCCCTGACAAGTCGAAAAGGAGAGCCATCTCTGCTTGTATTGCTTTTCGAGACTTGCGTAAGATCGGTCTGTTTCTCTTGAGAAAGTTGCGGAAAACTACATTTCTTATTCCTCCTACGGGGAAACCTTCAGATTAAAAAAGTGAGTGATCCGGATTTAACTTTGGAGAACTGGGCTGCCTACCCATTTCAAAGGTGTAGCTATGAGGACGGACTGCATACGAAAGATTCGACGGAAGCGGGCGTCGTGTCAATTTCCTTTAAAGAGAATGTACTTTCTCTAGACATCTCAAAGGGATGAAATTATACTATTCAGCCAATGTCAGGCAAGGCCCTAAGTCAGAAACCCTCGCTTGATTTTGCATGTATCAGCGGGAGATTATGCCTTGTGCTTGTCCGTACTACAATTCTATGCAGGTGATTATTTCTATTCGGTAATCTAGAGACCACGTAGATCGCCCTATCACTAAGCTATTTTGATCACAGGGCATAACACGAATGATTTCATTCGCAAGCGTTCGCAGGGCGCCAATGATCAGCAATCGAGATAATCGTCGAGACTGCCCAAGCGTGACGAGTCGACAAAGATAGGTTTCTCAAATCAGCAGGCAAAGGAGGTATCAGAAGATGAAGATGCGATCACCGGAACAAGAAATTTATTTGCCTGACGTTTCGGATCCTCACTCGAATCCATCATCAGAGACATTAGCAGATAAAGGTGATTGTGGCACCAGGAGTGCAGTATTTATAGCGCGTGGCTGCCGTGGGACCGCATGCGCACTGCAATTAACAGTTCTCGTAATCACCGCTGGGGCCGTAATTGATGCGGTGGTGGCTTGTCGGTCCGAGTCCGAGTCGTTAATTGCCGCGATTTCGTCATCCGTGCTGGATGCTGGTGTGACGATTGCTCGACAAACTGGCTCACTGTCACCGTGATGATTGCTCGCCCGCGCCCTCCCCACGTGACTGATTCTCCTGCCCAAGGAAAATCGCAGTACGCTATAGGGTACCGGCAGGTCATTGTGCTTGTTGATGGATTGTGGGCCTGAGAACCATGACTCGAGCAGCTCGCGGCTCACGCGGTTGTCACCCCTTGCGAGGATTTCGGCCTCTTGAAATTTGAAAATATGGCCGGGTCCCGGCGAGTGTGCCGCCACTTGAGAGTTAGCGTCTCCCCGCCTCACTGCTGCTGCGTGCTCGGCAATTCGAGTACGGAGTAATCTCCCAGTTTCTCCGACATAATTGCTTTGTCCGCAACTACACCAGATCCGGTAAATGACTCCAGACGTGTCCTGCCGTGGCAGCGGGTCTTTTGGCCTCATGACTTGGCGCCTAATGGTTGCTTCCGGCCTATGTGCTTCAGCAGAGGCTGGCCGAACGAACCCGCGAACATAAAGCAACTCGCGAAGCAGCCCTAGAGAACAAATTTCGTAAGCTGCCTGCTCCAATGTCATCCAAGAACGACAAACTGGTGCACAACCTGTCGTCAAAGGAGCTGACGGAGGAACAAATGCAGGTTTTACGGCATGAGGCCTCATTCAACACAGCCGATGCCAAACCTGCCAACATGATCGCAGCAGTGGAATCAATCCTCAGCCAGACGGGAGCGACAGACGAAACGAAGAACCTCATTCGACATCAAGTGTCCTCCCTCCCCATGGCTCATAGGCCGCGCGACGTGCTTTCCAAGGTTGAGCGTGATGTACTTAAGGAACTCAGGGCCGACAACGACCTCGTTATCGTGCCTGCGGACAAGGGGCGTTCAACGGTCGTATTGGACAGGACAGACTACAATCAAAAAGCCAAAAGCTTGTTGGAGGATCGTCAGTCCTATGTCCCATGCGAATCCAACCCCATGAAAACGCTGACACGCGAGATTAACGCGACGCTGTTGGCAATGGAGAACTCAAGTGCAATATCGCCAATCGACCGACGCATGGCGAGAGCACAAGAAACGGCCCTAGCCCGATTCTACGGTCTCCCAAAAGTTCACAAAGAGGGCGTTCCTCTCCGGCTTATCGTATCACTAAAGGGCACTCCAACCTACGGACTGGCAAAGTGGCTGTTCCAACGTCTCAAGTTTCTGACCTCCGATTCGAACACCACAGTCAGCTCGTCAACGCAATTCTTGGAGAAACTTAAAGGAGTAAGTCTCCTGCCAAGCGATATCATGGTTTCCTTTGATGTCACGTCCCTTTTTACTTCTATCCCTCAGGACCTGGCAGTCGAGACCATCGAACTACTCCTACGAGAGAAGTACGACGAAACGGAGAATCGCCTCGGACACGCCCAAATCATCCAGCTCCTGAAGTTCTGTCTCAAGACGTACTTTACGTTCGACGGAACAATCTACGAGCAGGTGAAGGGAACGCCAATGGGTTCGCCGATTTCGGGACTCATAGCCGAGGCGGTCCTACAACGGCTGGAGTCGCTGGTTTTCCGACACCACAGACCGAAATTTTTGGCTCGGTATGTGGATGACACCTTCGTCGTCATCGAACGGGATCAGGTGCTGACTTTCAAAGAACAACTCAACGCCGTCTTCCCGGACATCCAATTTACGATGGAGGAGGAGGAAAATAATCAGCTGGCCTTCCTGGATGTCCTCGTCTGCCGCAAAGATTGTGGGGGCCTAAAAACCAAAGTGTTCCGGAAAGCGACAAATACGACGCAAATACTGAACTTCAATAGCAACCACCCGATCAGTCACAAACGCAGTTGCGTAAGGGCGCTATACCGGCGCGTTGAGACGCACTGCAGTGAAATGGAAGACAAGGTTGCTGAACTGCAATATCTTCGACGGGTAATGAGAGCCAATGGTTACCCCTCGCAGCTTTGTCAACCAGTGCATACGAAAAGGACTCCAGAGACCAAATCCAACCGGACCCAAATTTTGGCGGGCTCTTCCGTACGTGAAGAACGTCTCGGAAGCCGTCAGTCGTCTTCTCACTCCACTTGGAGTTGGGGTTGCACACGGGCCGGAAACAACCATTAGGCGCCAAGTCATGAGGCCAAAAGACCCGCTGCCACGGCAGGACACGTCTGGAGTCATTTACCGGATCTGGTGTAGTTGCGGACAAAGCAATTATGTCGGAGAAACTGGGAGATTACTCCGTACTCGAATTGCCGAGCACGCAGCAGCAGTGAGGCGGGGAGACGCTAACTCTCAAGTGGCGGCACACTCGACGGGACCCGGCCATATTTTCAAATTTCAAGAGGCCGAAATCCTCGCAAGGGGTGACAACCGCGTGAGCCGCGAGCTGCTCGAGTCATGGTTCTCAGGCCCACAATCCATCAACAAGCACAATGACCTGCCGGTACCCTATAGCGTACTGCGATTTTCCTTGGGCAGGAGAATCAGTCACGTGGGGAGGGCGCGGGCGAGCAATCATCACGGTGACAGTGAGCCAGTTTGTCGAGCAATCGTCACACCAGCATCCAGCACGGATGACGAAATCGCGGCAATTAACGACTCGGACTCGGACCGACAAGCCACCACCGCATCAATTACGGCCCCAGCGGTGATTACGAGAACTGTTAATTGCAGTGCGCATGCGGTCCCACGGCAGCCACGTGCTATAAATACTGCACTCCTGGTGCCACAATCACCTTTATCTGCTAATGTCTCTGATGATGGATTCGAGTGAGGATCCGAAACGTCAGGCAAATAAATTTCTTGTTCCGGTGATCGCTTCTTCATCTTCGGAACTGCTACCTGGAACTCGCCTGTTCGCTTCTATCAGCAAAGGAGATATCGTTAGTAGGTCAAACCTGGTCGGATCTCATTTCGTAGCCGTTCCAGCAGTAGACCAGCCCCAGCCTGACCCCTAACCTCTAACCCCTAGCCCCGAACCCCAACCTCTAACCTTAATCCCTAATCTTAGCCCCCAACCCTAGTCCCTAATTCTTGACCTCTAACGGGTACGGCTACGAAATGAGATCTCACCTCCGACTTTACTATGGTCGGGAAAGTACAAGCAGCCATTGCAAAAGTTTGACAAAGCTGACAGCCAGTCCTTGATGTCGTCGGTCCCGGCGCGAGGGGCACACGTGTGCCTGAACGTTGTCCGGCTGTGAATAATCTCTGAAGAGAAAAATGTCAGTTGACGTCACGGTGTCGGCAAGTCGAAGGCTAGGTCACACGCGATGCTGGTAGTGGACTATCGAGGTGATTCGGTCGCTGTCGCCACGTCGAATAAACCGTCGCAAAACTCAAGAGACGGAACTTTTCCCTTCCGACTTGCTCATTGTCACCATCTGGTCATATCCCAAGGCTCTGGAGCGGAACTGCAGGATAGAGAGAGGAATCGTCCCTTTTGCGTCCAGCACTCGCGATCAATCGTCGAAATGCACTTCAGTATGACTTAATATCCCCGGTCTCACTCGACAGAGACGTGAGCCCCTGATCTCATGGTATGGCACGTAACGTGAATGCCCAGTAGTAAGTGTGTTCGGGTCTGAACCCTGATCGATTCCAGTCAAGGTTTAGCAGATTTGAACATCCAGTGGCATTCTTCACGGTTTAGGCTTTTGAACTTCAAACGGCGAAGAGGAACTCGATCGAGGCCTTCTGTCGTCTGTATCTCGCCTGTTCGCAACAGAATGCTACAACCTGTCGCAATCTCAGTTGTTGCAAGAAGGGAACCCGTTCTGTCGAGTGGGCCGCCCCCCGTCCTTTCAAGGACTGCGTGGGTGCCAGTGCGGCGCAAGCAATTTGGTGGTACCTGTGGCGGGAGGAGAGAGGGGACTGCGTTTCTACGGCACTGATTTGACGTGCTGTTAAACAATCGAGACACACTCAACGTCATGGACTGGAAGATTGCCAACTGAAGATATAAGTCAACCCTCACTGTCGGCCCTGTATTTGTTTGCGTGGAGTGGTCGACTAGCGGACCGTGAGTCAGACATTATGGCTCCTTCTTAATTTGGCCCCTATGAAATCCTCACGCATGTGAACTACGAGTCGTCCATCCCTCTTGTGTTAAAATCTGGTGCCCTTTGTGAGGAGCCAGGCCGTGTGGGACATGCGCCGACGGCCTGTCTAGTTTTGTCAGACGCCTGCGCCCAATCAGATGGCTGGCCGTCTCGGACAGTGGACGGGTGCTTGATAGAGGGAGGAGAGAGCGATTTAGACTATCGGGACCGCCTCCCCACGGCACTCAGTGCACATTCCTCACTAGGGTACTCCCACTCAGGTGGGGTCGGTGCAGCCCTCGGTGAGAGCCTCTTACCTTTGCACTGGGGACCAGGTTGTGTGTGGCACGCGTAGACAGACTGTTTGGCTTTGTCAGCCACCGCGCAAGAGCCCGCCCCCGGTCCCCCCCCTGACTCTGTTTTGCTACCGCTCTGAGAGGGGGGTACGGAGAGGGAGTGTGGCGGATGCTGAGCAAAGCTGATTAACTACAAACTGCTTCACGCACAAGTCACCGCTGCCGCATCCACCATGCTGCGGCACACTCGGTTAACATTCTTGTCGTTCGCGGTGTTAGAACTGTCGTCATAACATGTCATAGGCTTTGACCGACGACGTTTAAACTAGTTTCCACATCTGAACCGTGCCTGATCCCACGAATCCCTTCAGATCAGCATAACTCTTCCACTCAACCCTAAGGCACCCTGGGCGCGACTTAACGCAAATAAGGAAGGTCAGCGCTGCAATGGCGCCCTGGGGAATCCATGTTTTTGGGAATTTTTCTGTCGCTAATCCGATCAGTAAGAAAGATTTAACCACCCCCTTCCTACCCCTCAAATCTGCCTAGGGTTAGGAGGTATTCGATGGTGCATCTGATCAGATCTTCCTTGCATAGTTTCAAAACTGTTACAGAAGCCTTTTACTAACATCTCGGAGTCTATCTTCTTCTTCACGCACCCGAAAGCTCTGACGAATTCATATGGTTCTGACTCTCGACCAGCCATCACTTTTACCAAATGAAGTATTGGAACCGGTTATTCGCCTCTGTTCGTCCAGTCAGTCACATCTAGATGGATTTCCCTATGACGCTCCATGGCGGGGCGACTATGTATATTGGTCGCACGAGCCGGCGTTTATCCAAAAAGATAAAAGAACATCTTCCAGCAACGGGTAAAACAAATAATATCAACAGCTCGATTCTCGCGCACATCGTAGACACAGACCACCGTGTAGACGCCAGAGAGGCCTTCAGAATGATTTACAAGGTCCTATCAAGCTATCCCAAACTGCTTGGGCAGCGCTTGTTGGCTACGACAGAGGCGGCTGCAATCAGGCTACGCGGACCGGTCCTATGCGCACAAAAGAACTTCATACAGGTCCCACAGTTGCCATGGTTCAAAGCCACCAAGCCAGCCACCCGCATGTAATTACCTTTGCCGGCACCCACCTTCTCCCTGGCGCTGACTGGAATCGTGGTGTTTCACTCTCACTCTTCCCTCCCCTCTCCAACCCCGAGCTACAGCTTAATTATCTACTTGCCCGTATCTTTTAATTCATTACTTCAATAGCCATATAAATGTACAGGCCTGAAGAGAATTTATCGAAAGCAGACGCATGCTCGCTAAATTGCCTTTTGAATTTTACAATGGGAATTTTCGTAACTCTATTATCCAAGTCTAATAAGCAGTATTTCTATGTTCTAATTTCTACACTCAAGCATAGCAGATCAACAGTTAACTCAGTATAAGGGATGAAAGGGGACGTGGCTGGCTAACCAAAAGCGGCTACTGTCTCACCCTCGTCCTCTCTTAACGTCCTGCATCTCAAAAAATGCCTGTAGTCTATCAAAAACCTCTTCAGGAGTGTTTATCAATCCACCCTATCCACCGAGTTTTAACTCTTCGATTTCCAGGAGGGGGTGTTGGTGGAGAAGAGACAAACTCGGGTCTCGGCATTCGAGTTTTGCCAGCCTATTTGTCTGTTCAAGGCTGTTAAACAAGGAATGACGCCCCTGTAGTCTCCTTGCCTTTTCACACATGCATCGCTCGATTATTAAGTTGATCTTTTTTACTCACTTGTTCTCAAGGGCTGGACCTGTCAAACGTGCTGCGATGCTCAATCGGGCCGAGCCGTCAATTGCCGCCTCTACATACACTGGGTGGTTTAACTTGCAAACAACGGATGGTGTACCCGAAACAGCCTGCAAGCATGCTCGACTTCGTTTCGTTTCAAAACTTCTAGTTCAGTATCCAGCCCCTCCTGCCAGTCGTCGGCTTGAGGTATGACCGGTTGCTTGCGCCAAATGAGCCACGGAGTAGGCGTTTCAAACCTTGTCTTCGGTATTCTGCACATAGGTCAAAGGTACCCCGACTCTATGATCGCAATCTCCTGGCTACTATCTCTTGCCCCTGTGAGAGGCCTGTCTATCAATAAATTCAACCGGGATTCACTTAAGCTAGGCGCAAACGACTGCACCCAGCCTTTATTCCTCTCGTGTATGCTAGCTCGTACTCGCTGCAGACCCGAGATCATCGATAGGTTTCAGATATCATTGTGGTACGGCAGGAAATGCAGCGCTGCGATAGGTCCAAGGCATGCGATAGATAGGCAGACAGGCACTCTGTACGCGCGACCGCTAGCGGCACCAGCGCTAGTGTTATCGCTTAGCGTGTGCGTGCGTGCGTGCTGCTCCCCCTGTCTGTGTGTGTGTGCCTGTTTGTCTATTAATCTCTTTCTAGTGTGCGCGCGCAAGCGGGAAGTCGGCCGCGAGTCGTGTGCGGACCGAAGTCGGACTAATCGGAAAAAAAGGAGAACACCGGCACGCAGCCGATCAAAAAGGGAGTTCTACAATTCATTTGCCCGGTCAAAAAGGACCTACATGCGTCTCGCTTCAGCTCACTATAACCCGGTCAGCTAAATCAAGTTCGGGCATCGCTAGGGTCCTGGTTTTCGTTTGAACCAACCAGAGGCCATGCGAAACAGAGGGGGCACTCTGATCGTAGGGGATTACCGTCAACATTTTCTCGGCATCTACTGACTCACGAAGACAAGGGTAGTAAACTGAACAACAAGAAAATGACGCA